ATATATATATATATATATATATATATATACATCGACGTCCTCTCCTCGGTAATCGATTCCACGGACGCGAGTCGCCCTTCAACTCTCATCCCATAAGCCGTAAACGCGAACCGTGACGAGAGAAATCGATTAATCGAGAAAATTTATGCAAAGATATAATAAAGATCAACTTCGAGTGAAATTTTTCCGTTTAAGTTTATTTCTCCGTGGAATTCGAAAAGCGATTAATTAATTTTTTAAAGATCGGTCGAAATCGGTTTCGATCTGTATCTACTTGAAAGTGTAAGTTAACGAAAGAAGCGAATCGATCCTCGTTTATTTTTTCATCAATGTGCAAAAATTATTCACGTATCGTTTGATCGAGTTGAAAATTATTATCGTTTTTCAATAATATTTCACTAAGGTGGAAATTAGAATTTATTCGCGTAAGAAGCGTGTCGATCAATTGCTTAATCAGGAACGGAAGGATCGCGAAATTAGCCGCCGCCGATCGACAATTTTATTATTCTTTCGCGTGAAAGGCAGCAGAAAGGTAGGAAATAAGCGTGCCTCTCTCCCTCTTTTTCTCTCCGCCTCTGTTAATCTCAGACTAATTGGAGGCGTATTCGACGAAACGTATACGTCGAATAATTGGAGGATTCTCGATCTGTACGGTTGAAATTCTAACGAGGCGAACGTCCCTTCTTCCTTCTCCAACCAAAAAATGCATCTACCTTCGAGTTCCGCCATCATTTGCATCGTATACATCTGCATATTTCTGAATTATTGAAAATATCTCGATGTAAGGATTCGAAATCTCGAGCGACGTTCCTCCTCGCGTTTGCCCGTTTCGAGTAACGATTCGCCAATTATATAATACGTAGAAGAAAGAAAGAGCGAGGACCGAGAGAACGAACGGCCTATTAAACCAGGAGGACATTTTCTCGGAACTGTTCATTTTCATTAGCGCATTGTGGAACCAGAGGGAACGTCGTTAACAAGTGGATAAATCTCGCGTTTCCACTTATCTCCATTACGAAAGAAATCAGATTCGGCAAAAAATCGATTCTCCTCTTCCCTATCCGCTAATTAGTAAGAAAACTAACGAACCCCTCTTTCCGTATGAAATTCACTCCAAGCTCGTTAGCCTTTTCGTTTCAGTGTTAATGAAAAGGATAAGTGTAAACCAAGAATCGAACGATCCCCGTTGACGGATCGTCGATGATCATCCACGAATTTTTTTTTCCCCTTTGTCCCTTTTTTCCCTCGTTCGCTCGTTATTCGTCAACGATAATGACGATGAAAACCGATGATGAGAGAAAAAAGAGGAGGAAAGGTTGAACGCTTGATCGCGTGTTGAACGAAACGAAACGAAACATTTCGGGACGTTTGTAAATCCTCCTTCTCCTTCTCCTCTTCGAAAAGTCGCGCAACCGCGTAACCGCGTATACGATTCTCTTCCCGAGTTACTTTTCGAGGACTGGAGCAACTAAGAACGGAAGGATTTCGACCATTCTCGGGACGAATAAACTTCGGCCGTCGTAAATCTTCGCCTCTAATAACCAAACTTACGCCAACCTAATAACTTTCCTCTCCTCCGCGTGGGACGACGGTTGGGAGAAACGCTCGTTTCCAAACGCGACAACGGAATCCTCGGAATTTACAGAATTCGAACGATTATTTCGCTCCGTTTACAAGCGGCGAACAACTTCGGTTATATACGATATTCCCCTGATGTTAATGCTCTGCAAATAAGTTCTTCCCTCTTCTTTTTTTCCCCCAAATTGAAGATTTTATCACATAAATCAGATACAGGATTATCTGATTATTCCAATCGCTTGTCAATTCTTCTCATCTTCCTTCAACTCACGGTCGTCGAACTTTCTCGATGCACGATCCTCGTCTTACGAATTAAAATTTTCGGCTTTCAATCTTTGCTATGATTTTTCGCACGTTCCGTAAGATTTTTCGCACGTTTTCTTCCAGTGACACGCATAAACCATTTCAGCTTCGACGGCCGATCTCTTAAACTAGAACGCAAAAAACAAACAGTAACGCGAACGACACTTATCGCTCGAAATTGTTGCGTAGGACTGGAAACTATTAGAGCGCTCGTCGCGACTCTTTTTGAAAACAAAATAACGTTCTTTCAGATGGCGCCACCAACGGTAAAGTAATTCGGTAAGAAATGACGGGGAAAGAACTTATTCGCACACCTGATATTTCCACTGCTCGCGAAAAAAAAAAACAGAGAGCAAAGATCGATGGAAGTTTAGCGAAATCTGCTCGAAAATTCTTGCGGTCGGAAAAGAAAAGAAAAAGAGGAAAAAAAGGAATCTCTGAAGGAGATTGGAGTACCCTCGGTGCGAACGATACGAGCTGCGGTTTTTCCAATGATATCGCGGTGGGTCTCGGTAAAATTTCACTTAAGTCGGCAATTCGCAGGATCGCCGCGCACGGGCCGCTCTCTAATATTCCAGACTTAATCTACAAACGAGCCATTTAAACTTCTCTCCAATTCCTTTTCTCCCCTATATTTCCTCCTCCTCCTCCTCGTTCTTTTTCCAACAACCGCTCGTTCCTCCATCCTCCACGGTGCATTAGACGCATTATTCCCTCGTCAGTAATAAGCCCACGAACCGTGGAACATATTAAAACGCATAAATACAGTGTGTGCAACGCGTTGAAATAAAGTGTCGTGGCATACGCGTGTTGCTCCCGAATTTCCTATCCTTGTCCGATTTCCTTTTTTCACTTCTTTCTCTCTCTCTCTCTTTTTCCTCCTCCTCCTCGCGTTCGTGCCACAAAGAATTTTCGGATGAATTTAAAACGAGAATTACAGGCTGGGGCTTCGCAGAGAAAAATGTAAAGATTATCTCGTAGTTGAAGCGAGGATATTAAAACGAAGAGAGAGAGAGAGAGAGAGAGTTTCTGTACGCCTCGACGACATGAATTTTGATTTACAAATTAAATTTCTACCTTGCCCCCAACTTCTACCGACACTAATTTTCCGCCTGTTTTTGTTTTCTTTCCCCCCTTCTGCGACTTCTAATTATACCCCCAACGTTCCTTTCTTCTCACTCCTCTCCATTCTTCTCCCCTATTATTTCGCCTATTTTTCCAACCTATTTCATCCCAATCTGTTCATCTTTCTCCTCGCTCGTTTCCTCAAAATATATTATACTCGCTGCGAAACGATGTTTCATCGATCGACGAAGAAAGCAAAGTTTTTCCATCGAAAATTTTTCTTTGTACGCGATTTTAAATTGATTTTTACGACGACAAGGAGGAAGAGAGAGAAAGAGAGAGTAATCAGCGGTCGGTTTTGGTTTAATTTCCGACCAGACGGGTGTGAAACGAGGAAACTTTTCGTTTGGACGGGGGCACGAAGCGTTTCGTGGAACAAACAACGCGTGTCAGGATCAGTAAGTGCATCAAAATCGTACGTACGACGGAGGGGGAACAAAAAAAAAGTTGTCGCCGCGTCCGCCTGACTCTGACACAGTTTTCAAACTGGGCTCGGAGTGACGGCCCCTCCGCACAACGCCGTCCTTCCCTTCTTCCTTTCTCCCCGCCCCTTTTTTTGCCCCGCCTCGAGGAAAATCTCGCCAAAATTCTCTCTCTCTCTCTCTCTCTCTAAAATAAAAATAAATTTCCCAAAACTTGCAAACGAAAAAATTAACTAACCAACACGACAAATATATCTATCCTTCTATCCCCATCATAACCTTGATCATACCTCATACAAATAGATCTAAAACTATATATCCTTAATATATCGTTGAATTTAAAAATTATATGATATTTTATATCGCTAAGAGAGATCTATATCGATAAGATTTTACGCGATATATATATATATATATATCTCGTTGAATTTAAAGATTATATGATATTTTATATCGGTATAAGAGAAAAGGAGAGAGAGAGGGGAAAAGAAGGAAAGAGGATACTATGGTAGAGAAGAGGAAGTAACGATGATTATATTCAGCGGGAGAGGCAGGTCGCGGTAGTAAATTTCCCGTCTACCGGAAGGGAAGTTTCGCGCGGGAATCGGTGGAAAAGTTGGAAAATCTTTTCGCCTCCTTTCCCTCCTCCCCTCCCCCTCCCTCCGTATTTATCTACTGTCCGCGGAAGTGGAAAGAAGTTGCGATCAAAATCTTTCTAACGAGAGGCGGAACCGAAAGTTTTCGAAGCCAAGGGGACCGTGGTGGAGTCGCTGCGATCGTTAATCGACCACCGCTTAAAAGATTCGAAGATTTCGTGGGAGGA